CCTCGCGCGGAAGAGGGCCTCGGTCTGGGACAGGACGTTGGACTTGTGGGTGATGGTGACGAGGGGGCTCTGGTGGATAGAGGGGGCGCCAGCGGCGCGGATCTTTTGGCGGCGCAGGGCAATGTCGCCGGCCATGGTGGCGATGCGGTGCGAGGCGCGCTCGGAGATGCGCTTGATGGCCTCGGCGACCTTGCCGTCGGGGGTGTCGCGGGTCGTCTCCTCCTTGACGTAGAGGTCCTCGGTGTTCTCGCGGACAATGACCATGTCGATGGGCTTGGCGGCCGAGAGGACCGTCTTCACGGGGCGGACGTTGGCGTAGAGGTCGAGCTTCTTCCGCAGGGCGACAATGGGCGACGAGTAGCCCTTGACGGGAGACGAGGGGGAGGAGACGGCGCCGAAGAGGGCACCGTCGCACTCGTTGCGCAGGATCTCGACCGTCTTGTCGGGGAGAGCGGCGCCGGTGCGCTCAAACGTCTCGAAGCCAGCGTGGAGGTCGGTAAACTCGAACTTGAGGCCGAGGTAGGAGGGGAGGGCTTCGAGGATGCGGCGGCCGGCGGGGATGACCTCCTTGCCGATGCCGTCACCGGGGATGAGGCCTGAGGGAGGTGGTGAGCTCACGACGGCCATTGAAGGCGAGGACGGGGATGCTTACCGATCCTGAGCGTGCGAATCGACATTGTGCAAGCGATTGACCTGGTGGCGAGACTGTGGGTTGTGGTGTCGACAGTCGCGTGGGGGGTTGAGGTGAGGGTGGTGGGATGGGCAGGAAGCTCGTGGGGAAAATTTAGTAGAGCACGCCAATGTCACTGACGTTCGCCCCGGCGTGATATCGGAGGCCGAAGGTCTCGACCGAGACGTTTTAAGGACAGGGAATGCCGGCACGCCCCCCTGCTCTTCCTGGGAGCGGTTGCTGCCGCGAACGAACGAGGGTATCCCGACAAAGATCCGGAGAGCTGGAGAGCAGTGAAGAGGCGTTCTGAACCTGTACTGTTTGGTCTTCTGCCCGAGACGTCTTTTTTTCCCCGTCAAGCTCATGGCTTCACCATGGCTGGCGCGAAAGCCTGAGGGGGGATGCATCAAGCTTCAAGCTGGCAGCTGGGGGTTACTGGCTCCCAGCTGGCAGTTGACGCCGCGACCGGGCTGGCCAGTGGGAAGGTCCACTGACAGCAAACCCAATGAATGCCCTGACCAGCGCCGATCGAGCCCCCGATCCAATGGATGGCAGAGTGAAGCGCGTGCACCGGGAGACGAGAAACCCAACCCTCCAGGAGAGAGACCCAAGAGACCCTGGGAACCCCACATGATGCTAGCAGGTTTAGCGTGGCAGGCCCCCAAGGCCAAGGGGAGAGCTTCCCACGGGTTTCTGCCAGCTGGCGTTGGGGCATTGGGCCATGCCTGGAACTCCCCGCCCGGGTACCTCTGAAGTGCCTCGGGAGGGACCCAAGTATTGGATGCAGATCCCCCTCCCTCATCAACATGAAGCTCCCTCTGGGATGAAAAGGGGGCCGGCATATTCATATGACAAACATACGGCATAAATTGGACCGAGGACAAACGACGCCTCTGGTTTGGTGCATGCACCGCCAGCACAGCACCACTGCATTCTCTCGAATGCTTCTGGAAGCCGCTTCGACTTGACGCCGGACTTTCGCATAATGCAGGGGAGTCGACGCCAGCGTGAAACAAGTGGTGCATCACAACGTGCCGTGGACGGACCCTTGGTACTCGATGCCCTCTGAACGTCAAGGGAGGGGTCAAGGGGGACCTCTCTCCTGCCGCTGCAGACAACACCAGTCTCGAGAACTGTGCCAGTGCATCGGGCCCCGTGAACGTGTCAAGTCGGCCGTACCAAGATCCACGAACCCCCCGAATCCAACCAAACAATGCAGCGACGTCGTCCCGATGCTCTAATGTACATGTCCTGTGTACTTGTTGGTAGGGACGTGCCTTGCATCTGGTGCAGACTGGTGCGGTGAGGCAACGGTGCCTATGCAGGAAGGTGGGCTTTTTCTTCCCCTGGGATAGGGTGTCCGTAATTAAACAACCCGAATGCCTGTCTGCCTACAGGGCCAGCCTGCCCACTAAGGCAAGGTACACATGTACCTCACGAACAGGAGCTGCCTCTCGGCTCGTCTCGTCTCGCCCGACTTTTGACCACCACCACCTTTACAGTCGCCCATCGCAACCCGGATTGTCTCAAACTGTCCTCAAGCATCATCCAGCATTCAGCGTTGCCTCTGTTTTTCAACTCTCTCTCTACGTTTCCGCTTCGTCTGTTTGTCGCTCGTTGCTGTCCTGGGCTGCAGCATACATCCCATTGCCCCCCCCTTTTTCTTGTCACTCGGCAGAGCTCCGTTCGACCTGAGCCCGATCGCTTAGCCTCCCACCCCCCAGCTGAGCTAGGTAGCAACCAGACAGAATCGAACGACGAGACAAATCAGTGCCGGCTACGAGAAGAACAAATTCAACGCACTGCCTCGACTGCGACATGCGAATTTTCTGATTCTTGGCTTTCACCAGTCACAACTCCCTCTTCGTAATCGACCTCTGTTCCGTCCCCGCGGCACGGCTGTCTCCGAGCACGGGGTAGCATTGACACTACCTGCCGCCCCCTTGCACTCAGAAGCGCGGCCAGAGCTACTTGCTCTCTGTCACAACCGAATCCACGAACCCCAAGCGACCGACGCCTGCTTTTTCCCTTGCCATACACTGCGCACCCAGTGCACCAAACCGCCGCCGCCATGTCGGGTGTCAAGAACCTCCGGGCCATGTTCGAGCAGAAGCAGGACGCGAGCCCGCCAGAGAGAGGACTCGATCGTGGAAGGTCACCAGGAGACTCGTCAAGTACGTGCACGCCCCAAGACACAACCTTCCCCCTTTGAGCCCGCCAGCTGGCCACTGCCGCTGCCGCTGCATTCAACTCGTCACCACGGGAGACTTTGCCCGGGCCCAAGCACTCCAAGAGCTAAACACAGCTGCTCCATCTGACTCTCTTCACCGCTTCAAAAATCGGGGCCTTACGTCACTGACTTGTCAATCGACGCCGCTCACTCCCCCCTGGTTGATGATCGACCTAGCTGACATATGATCTCGTCTCCAGCTCGATCCGAGACGCCTCCCCGACCTCTCTCCAAAGTTCGCACAAATTTCATTGCAGTCCAAGAAAAAGACGGTCGCATAGGACTGAGACGGGACCCCAGCGACGACGGTTCCACTCGCAGCTTGTCACGACGACGCCTCAGCGTCAACACGGAAGAAGGCAGTGTTTCGGCCTTTTCAGAAAGGACAATGGCATTCACCGAGCCTATCCCTGAATCGCCACGGGCCCCGGAGACGATAATGTCGTCCCACGGAGCCAATGGCACCAATGTCGATTCTACCAAGCTATTGGAGCTGTAACCGACCGTCCCAGCCACAACCCAGACAAACACATGGACGTCGAAACACCCACCCCCAAGCTTCTCCCAGCAGATCCTACAGAAAGCCCCCATCCACCTGTCGGCCATCTCAACCGACAAGGCAACCAAAGCTGCCACGACCACCACCAAGACGCTTCGAAAGCAACGCTCTAGCATCAACCAGTCGAGACCCAGCCTCGGCCCGCCTCCCAAGAAGGCCCAAGATCACCCCGTCACCAAGAAGGAGCGTGAGGTGGACGAAGGCTTCCTCGCTCGCATGATGAGGCCCACGCAGAGCTCTAGCTCCAAGCTCAGCGACAAGGTGCCCATTACCCCGCCTCGCAAGGCCGCCCCCAAGAAGGACGCGAGCTCCACCAAGGCCAGCACCTCGACGACGGCCAGCGGGCGCAAGAAGATTGGCCAGCCTGCGTTTGCCGCCACGGGGAGCCCGGGACAGAAGAAGATTGCCGACACCGAACAAGTGGCCCTGGTCGAAACGGCCGAGGACGCCATCAGTGTGGCGGCTGCAGCGGGCATCGAGGAGCCTGCTGAGGCCAGCCCTGCGAGAGTGGAGGCTGAGCCGGCCAAGGAACTCGAGCTTGAGCCTACCGTTGTCGAGGAGCCCGAGCTTGAGGAAGCCGCGGTCGAGGAGACGGCTGCCGATGTTGAGGCTGGTGCCAAGACAGATGCCGCAGCAGAAGAGGCTATCCCCGAGAGCGAGCCTGCTTCTGCCTCTGCCGAGACATCTCCCGCTGAAGAAGATGCGGCCGAGGTCCTGCCTGCTGTCGAGGACGCTCCTGTCGAGGCGGTCGCGGTTGTCGAGGACGAAGAGGAGCCGAAGGAGCCCGTCATTCTCGACACCATCACGCCACCCCCTGACCTGTCAACGCCCGAGGCCAAAGGCCATTGTGGAGCAGGACGCTACAGAGGTCGCTGACGTTGAGGATGTCAGCATTCTCGCTAGAGAGTCTCGCGATCACGGATGCCACGGCCGACTCGGCGGGAGCGAAGGCGTCGGAGACTCAGGCTGTCGATGAGAGCATTGAGGTCGACGAGGTCGACCCCGTCGATCTGCCCACGAAGGAAGGGGTGGCACAGAAGCCCGCTGCTGAGACCGCGGCAAATTAGCATTCACGGCGCTAGTTTCGCACGGCGATGCTTGTGGTGTAAACTACAAATGCATGTGGCAGCCAGCCTCTGCTTGGTGGGTGTTCAGGGCGTGCTGCTGGTCTGTTTGTTTCTATTAGAGAGGAGGGTTTTGTTAGATACCTGGTCGCGAACCAAGGCGCATGCGGCCGAGAGCGCACGAAGCGGTTCATCAGCGCTTTTGGCTTGGACAGCGAACATGGATTTTGATAGTGTAGGGATAGTCTAGGAAATCAATACTCTGTCCGTACTATGCCTTTGTCCGTGCAGTATAGACGTCGTCCCCCCCCACGTGATCACTCGAGTTAAGACGTTGGCGTGGGGAGGTGGTCAGAGGCCAGCGAGCAAGTTTTTGTCTTTAAGTGGTATTTGACATGTTCGTTGGTGTCAGTACAGATATTTATACAGGGTACATCGGCCAGGTTTTTAGCCGGGGGTTTTGTTCTGCCATATTTTTGTTTGGGGGGGGGGGAAACACCCCCCTGTAGGGGCCTGCCTGGGATTCTCTAGTTTGTTATTCATAGTTTGTGTTTGCCGTTTTTTTTTTTTTTTTTTCT